AAAAAAAAAAAAAAAGTCCTAACTGCCAGTACCTTGGAATGTGAACTTATTGGAAACAGGGTCATTGCAGTTGTAATTAGTTAAGACCCAGTCATACTAGAGTAGGGCAGGTCCCTAACCCAATATGACTGGTGTCCTTATAAGATGACAGCCATGTGAAGACAGAGAAATACAGGGGAAATGACTTGTGATGAAGACAGATTGGAGTTATGAAGCTGCAAGCCAAAGAATGTCAAAAATCGCTGGCAAACCACCGGAAGCTAGGAAGAGGCAAGGAAAGTTTTCCCTGACAGGTTTCAGAGGGAGCGTGGTCCTGCCAACACCTTGATTTCAGACTTCTGGCTTCCAGAACTGAGAGAATGAATTTCTGCCCCTGCATTAGCGGGGGAGGTGAGAGAACCTATTGCTTTAAGAATGCCCTTCTGCCTGCATCTGACCCTTTGCCACAGCTATTTAGGACGTCTTTCTGCTTGTTCCACTCCTTACTCCGTCCTCGCCCCTAAGTTACAGGATATCCCTCCTTTGTCAGCGTTCATTGGGATTGCTTATACACTACGGTCAGAATTACTGCTGCTGCTGTTGGTCCCGCTTCCCCCGGCCTACACTCCTTAGCGCCTCTATGTGCCAGGCGCGGTTGCATCTCCATCTTCACCTCACAGAGAGAGGCCTGCCTCTCTACCTCTGCCACGCTCAGCCACTGGCAGGAGCAAGCTGTACGAATCCCGACTTGGTGTGGACATGGTGTTGTGGCAGGGAGGAGAAAGGCGTAGCTGAGAGCACTAAACTACAGAATTTGTGCTGGTGATTTTAGCACTTGCCTTCAAGGGGATCCCTGACACCGAGTAGCAGATCTCAGGTGAGGAGAAGCTGCCATCAAGGGGAACCGATGGAAAAAAGGATTGCTTGGAGTTTTAAGACTCAGTGCTCTGGAATGAGGGTGTGAGATGAGATGGGAACCAATTCCCTCTCATACTACAGGACGAGCACAGAAAGAGCAGGAACGATCTAGCTAGCTGAGTATCCCAAGAGCCTAGCACAATACCCGCACCATTAGTAGGTGCTCAGTAAAGGTCCTAGGTTCTAGGTCCATTTACTTATCAATTAATGCTCAGATACAAAGCAAGTGAGAAGCAGGTGGTAGAGTAAAAGTGTGAAGGGAAGAAAATAAAGTCATGAATAGGACATATAGAGGCTTTAGGTAGTACTGGAAGCAAAATGAGGTACTCCCACCAAGACCTATACATGGGGGTATGACTGACCCTAAAGAATTTAACCAAAAATAAATAAATAAATAACGGATCCATAATGGACCACAGAAGACACATGTAAAGGTACCATAAAAATACAGAATGGCCCAGGCAAGGTTGACAAACATTTATTGAAGATCTTAACATTTTGTTTGTTTTTGACAGCCTTAGCATGACCTTTGGAGTCCAGGGGTAATGCAGATAAGAGACCACATAGCATGCAAAATATTAGGATATTATATTGCTGCTGGACACCATGGAAAATAGTACATGGTCTAAAGTGCCCATTTTCGGGTGCCTGGGTGGCTCAGTTGGTTAAGCGACTGCCTTTGGCTCAGGTCATGATCCTGGGGTCCCGGGATCGAGTCCCGCATCGGGCTCCCTGCTCGGCAGGTAGTCTGCTTCTCCCTCTGACCCTCCTTCCTCTCATGCTCTCTCTCTCTATCTCATTCTCTCTCTCAAATAAATAAATAAAATCTTTAAAAAAAATAAAGTGCCCATTTTCAACACACATTAGTTGCATAAAATCCCATTCTCATTACATCATTCCAACCCTTGTCCTGTCACCATGACATTCATGGGAGAAAGCCTGACACTGCAAACTTCACACCTCATTCAGAGTCTCTTGGCAAAGTTCTTCCCTATTTCTTACAATCTCTGGGCATCTGAAGACCTTCTGCTCCACGTCTTGGCGTCAAAATTCCCTCCAGGCCCATCATCAACAAAAGAATACCATAAAGCTGAGCCATGAATGAGGGAAAGGTGAAGGGGTAAGTGTTCTAAAACAAAGAAATACAGGCTGTCACTGGGTCCAATCTTTAAGAGATAATGCAAATACATACACTTACATTTTTTAAATGGAATAATAAACTATAAAATTTATATAAGTGATTACGTATAAGGTGAAGAGGAGATAGACAAGAAAGGCAAGGTATATGCTTTTTAAAAAATATGTTTTGCGTCTGCCTTCGGCTCAGGTCATGATCTCTGTGTCCTGGGATTGAGTCCCACATCGGGCTCTCTGCCGCTCCCCCTGCTTGTGCTCTCTCTCTCTGACAAATAAATAAATAAAATCTTTAAAAATATATATGCTGTTTTATAATTTTGACTATGGAATCATATAACATTTTATATAATTATAAAATAACTAATTTTTAAACAAGCCCTAAAAATATAAAGGCACTGAAGTGTTTATCCACCTGGCAAAATAATCATCCAAGAAGGAACTATTCCAAAGTGACTTTAAAATACTGTAATTTTACTGAATATCCCTAGCAGGACCTACCCGAAGAGCAAAAGATCTGCAAAAATGTCTTCACTATTTTCACTGATCATATTCTAGTGATAGTGTTGATATTGTTATTCTGAAATTTTTATGTTTACAAGGTATAATAAAGCAAATGTGCAGTTAGGTCATATTCTAACTCTATCATCCTTGGTGCCCTTGAGAACAGAGATGGGCAACATGAGGGAAAACAATGTACAAATGTAAGATAGAAGAGGTTAAGTTAAAACTGTTTAATCCTGAATTTGAATTAGAAGTGTCATTATGAAACCATGAGCATTGTAACTTTTTGAAAACAGAGGAAAAGAATTATTTCCTAATTCTGTCTAGAAACAATGACCAGTCTAGTATCAATGGGCATCCCTGGCACTCAGATTGTGAAACACGATGTCCTGTTAAAAAAAGAACCAGGCTCCCGGCAGAAATGGGTGATTCTAGGTTTGGAGATGGAAATAAATGAGATAAGCCTAAAACATCTTGGCATGTAAACAGCAAAGAAACTATCAAAGACTACTGAGGTCACATCAAAAGGACTCAAAAGTCAATTTAAAGAACATCCTTCTGGGCAAAGACAACATCAGTATTATTAATAAGGATTTTAACTGTAATGGACTAAAACATATCGAAGATGCTTAAATCCTTAAGTTTGTAACAATAATTTTTAAAACCCCACTTGAGGGGCACCTGGGTGGTTCAGTTGGTTAAGCAACTGTCTTCAGCTCAGGTCA